TATGTTATGGACCGGAAGGTCATTATGATATGGACCGGAAGGTCGCTACGGGTAGGACCGGAAGGTCTACCAAGATGGTGGGACGGAAGTCCCCTGAGACACATGGATCGGAAGGTCTTGTAGAGCTATAGCCTTGAGTGGCGTATGTGCGTATGTGGTATTTTGGGGAACTCACTAAGCATTTATGCTTACAGTGTTTGTGTGATGTGTTTCAGGTACCAGTGAGGATCACGGGAAGGCGCCGGCATGATCTGTACACTCTGATGGGATTTATGTATTAGAGATCTTGGGATTTGTTTTATTATGATGACATGTGATACAATGGATTCTTATGATATCTTATGAATGAAATTATGTTTTAAAAATGAAAAATTGTTTTGAAAATTTACGTTGTTACACTATCAATGGTGCTTTCATTCCCGTTCATCATACCTCCCTGTCAAGATCCGTCCACCGATATCACACAGCCAAGTATCCGCGAGCAACTCTCCACACTCATCTCTATTTCCACCGCTAATGTCCACCGTCTTGATGCAATTATCACACAAATGGCCAAACTCATCCCACCTCTACCTCCGCTTCAAATTGGATGCATGGCCAAACTCATCCCACCTCTACCTCCGCTTCCACCACCGAATCAGCAACCCCGGACGCCGCCGCCGACATCACCACCGTCGTCTCCACCACCACGATTGCCAACAACACTATCCACACCGTCACTACCGCCGCAACAACAATCGTTATTGCCACTGCCGCCTCCAAAACCACAACAATCACCCATGTCAACCCAACAATCACTTCTAGCGTCGCAACCGCCGCCATCATTAACCACGACACCTTCACCACAACAATAATTCCTACCACCGATGATGCCACCCTCGAAAACTACAAACAAAAACTACCGAAAACAGTTCCAAAAAAACTCATCAAGCCTTGAGAACCTCGAGAACGGGGTCCTTTTTAAGCGGAGACAAACTGATACGACTCTCTGGCCATACCTAAGGCCGCCTCCATGGCCATATCCTTCCTTCTACGGGTACAACACGATTGCTACCGGAAATCAGCATAAATCGGCCTTGAGGACAAAGCCATTTTTCAGGGGCAGAGTATTGATACAAACACATTCCACATGCATAAGTCAAACTAGAAGATTGGTCGAGTAACGATGCATAAAGACTTGGTCTTATTTCAATTGCCACTAAAAGTTTATTGCATTAGTTTATGACTCAGATTTTATTTCAGTATGCATATTTCCCTTAATTTTAGTTAGCAAGTAGTTTCATATTTCTATAAATTGTAACCTGTATTTTGATTAAGGATTAAACAGAAAATTGTTCCAAGTCTTGTTTCTTCTTTGTGTGTTCTTATTAGGAGACTCGTCATCTCGAATTGGCCTCTATCAAACTCGCAGCCGCACCACTTTTAATTCGTGTTTTTTAACTCAATCAATTTTCATGTTATTTGTTTTTAGTTTTTAATTTATTAGCAAACTCTCTTTTTATTGTTATTTACTACTAATTTAGACAAATTGTGCGTTATACAAAGAGGCATAAACCGTTGACTCGTGCATATCGATCGACTTGGCTTACATTGCACTCTTTTATTTCATCAAACAATAATTTTTTAATACACTTAACGTTCCATCCATCCACCATCATCAACCTTATGTTTTTCTTCCTCCGTATGAAATCGAGCTATGGATGTAAATAATTTAAAATTTATGATCCACGTACTTTGCAACTTTTGTAGCAATCTATCTTGATCATCTACACGAATAAACTTGAAAAGGCCACACCTCTTCCCAATCTTCGGAAGCTTTCAAGTTTTGTAGACATCATTTACAACCCCATACTTGTCACACTCCTTTCATAATCCTTTCACATTTATTATATCGGGAAAATTATAACATAGATCGATACAAGGATACTTTCTACATTTTTGAAGTTAAGGTTACTCTTATTTCCTTCACTATTTAGTCCATCTCGTACATGTTTGGGATTGCAATATATTCACTTTCAACCATCATGCTTATCATTCACGCCTATTCTCTTATCCACATAAAATCAAGATTATAGTTCAAGTATAGTCTTAAATGCTTCCTTGATTACTAATCTCTCCACACCAGGCTATCTTCGTAGTATCCAAGACCGACCCACTCACCAGAGCATTTTCCTTAACTTCTTATTATTTGGACATGAAACCTTTACTTAGTCGCTGCTAATTTTGTTAGGCTATTCGGGAACTGTACACACATCAAGACTCAAGCGAAAGCTACCTCGATTTATGCATAATCATTTTTAATAATTGTTAATATACAACAAAGTTGGGTATTGTCACATATCGTTCTTTGTCAATAATCTAGAGAAAGAAGAAAATTTTGAAATGACACAACATAATAGAAACTTTTTGAATGGACTCCACCATGTCCAAGGATGGGCCCGTACGTCTTGTAGATGAGAGTCGCGGAGCCCCACATGTAGAGACCAAGATATCATCAATGGGACATCCGTCGATCCGCTTGTTCAGTTTATAGGTTATCTTGACGAGAAAATAGTTTTTTAATACTCGTTCATTTCTACTAATTAGACAATACAAAATCCTTTGCAATCCCTGTGCTTCAAATTTGTGCTTTTTGCTATAAATGTTTTCAATTGTTCAATTAGAACGAAATATACACAACATCAAACTCAAAAAGGCCAAAGTTCTTATTCCAAGATTTGTTTTAACACAAAAAGTTCGAGGTCGATGACATCTGTTAAATAATATACTAACAAGGATTGATTATTATACATCCTGTAATATATAGATCCACCATCCTAAATAACCTTCTTTCGCATTCGTAGCATGCATGTTTGCCAAGATATCCGACTCATACACTGCACCCAAAAGAAAAGTTGAAAAGTTAATAAATGTATAACCTTGTATACATAGAATCAAAAGCTAGTATATATGTAGCAATTAGTTATCATTAATCACTTTTTTATACTTAAGTTTTAGTAAGTAAAAAGATAGATATAATATATATTCTTACTAATTGCAATCGGTATTGGGATCAATGGTAAAGCCTAGAGACACTCCACAGAAGCCAGGCAAGGTGGCAATAGCGGTAGCATTGGGATTGTAAGTGGTAATGACACCCATCAAACACATGCATAAAGACCGCCGATTTTCTTCGGAGTCACCGAGGTTATTAAGACTAGCCACCGCATCACAACATGGGGACCCTGGGTACGGATCTGGTGTCCCGTATTGTACAAAAGCAGAGCATGTTGATACAAGTGTCGTCACTGTCACACAGTCTACTGTGGCTGAGCTTTTTGTTGCCACCCACAACACCACCGTTAACGCTACTAATAAGCCGCCTCTCACCACCACCTTCACACCACCCATTTTCAGCATATGTTTTCTTGTTAAACAGTGAAGGAAGTAATACATGATTGATTGGTGATTTGATGTGGTTAATTATATGAGATGATGGGGATTGGGTGGTGGTGGTTTTGAAGTAACGAACGTGTGCACTGCGCATTAAGGTTGCATGAGTCATGTAACCACGCAAACAAAATGGCTTGGGACTAGTTGACCAATATTAAACGTTTAAAGCTTATTATTATTATTATTATTATTATTATTATTATTATTTATTACCAATGTTCCCATCTACCTCCTCTAATAAACGAAACCTATTTTTGCCACGTGTCCATTTCCTAAGCTATATACTTGCCACGTGTTATTATTTTAGTACTCGTCGATTGCTTTTCCCGCTGTTTTATCCGATAATAAAAAAATAAAAAAATTTTAAAATTTTGATTTTTCATCCCCGATTCTTTCTCCCTTAATTTTGCCTATGAGTTTTGGAACTAAATCAAGATATTGATTCAAAATTTAAACACATAAATCCCCTAGGGTTTAATCCTAAGAGAATGATCAAACCTATAACGAAAACTCACCTCTTCTTCTTCTTCTCTATACTCCGCCAAGCGTCACTCAACATTGCAGGCTTCCGACCCTACTTTTCTCTGTACTACAATCCAAAGATCATATGCAATTAGTTTCAGGAAACATGGAAATGAATAATCAAAACATGATTTCTCATATACTTTATGTAGTAAATTTCAACTTATTTTGAGAAATTTGAAAACACCTATGTTTATACACTTATCACAATGGCACCTATTGATGTTTTAGGAGCAATAAATTGGAGATTTGAACATTTTTTATTTATAGGTCGACTTCAAAAATAGGTGTTCGCCGGATTCCTACTTGGTCTATCTGTCTGTTGATTTCGTCTTAGTTTCTAAAAATTCGGTAAACTTTTATTTCCTTTGGTCTACAAGTTCTTGCTTTTACCTTCTTATTATACCTATTAGCCACTGATTCAGTGAACCATGTACCAATATTTTAGTCTCTTGTGGTCTAATTGATTTACAGATTCTTTTTTGCTTTATTGCAACTATTTTGGAGCCAGTGATGTGAGGTGGGTGATCAAAGTCTAAGGAGTAAAAGAAGCCAAATATTGAATCGATTTGGGTAAATTACTTTGCTTTTGTTCTTATGAATATTAAATATCTGAGCCCCATTTAAACCAACTCTTCTGATTTCTCTTTGTAACTATAATCATAGTTCATGTTTGTGTTTCATATATCAATACTGCCTTCTTTTATACTCCCCACTTTCATTTTCTTATTTTGCTTTATGATCTTCTAACAACCATGCACTCATAAATAGTCCCTTACTAGGTTAATTGACAATGGCTATATATCAACCATGTGTAGATGTATGATTTTCTTACTCTTTTAGTCAATTTACTAATGGGTATGTTCTAAAATTTGAAATCTTTGGGAGTTTTGAAGGGTGGAAGAGGGGCTGGCATATTGGTATCATATGCTCACAAAAGCAAAAGATTTTGTGTGATTTTGAGTTTCAGAGTTTAACAAGCGGCATCTAGATGATTCTATTTCCATTAGAGTTATATGTTGTTGAAGTTCCTATCAGGTACCTACTTTCTATACAGTATACATATCCATGTCTGGATCAAACATATTTTCACACATTTCCCATTTGGTGGAGTTGTAGTCTTATTTAGACGTGGGTATAGGTTCACTGTATTTTTTAGTTGTTATGATCATTTGAATTGAATCTTATTTGCATTTAGACATTAGAAAAATGTTGATTGTTGATCAGAAGTTCAAGGGAAGGACTTAGGTATATATACTTCTTTTATATGGGAAAATATATAGGGGTAAATGTTTATCGTTCATTAATTTTTTAATATTAGTATATATATGCTTATGTTTATTATTATATAAAAAATTATTAATCTTGAGTTTTTATTTATTTTGTTGTTATTAAAGTATGTTTAACATGAGTTGATGCAAATAACATAAAGTGAAAATGCATGCTTTAAAACCTTTCAATGAATGTCCTCGTAGACTGAAAGTGGTTGCTTTCTCTGTTCATCAGCTTTTACAACATTTTTTTAGGAAAATGATGATAGTTGTTTAGTTCTTATTTTAAGATCACTCGATTTTTCAAAATGCCTATTTTCGACATGAATTTTAAACTATAAGGCTAATTTGAGTGAAAATGATAAAAATTATCCTACTCGTGCTAAATCCTTGAAATGCAATCTTTGTTGTTTATGTTTATTTTTCTTTTTATCTAATCCAAATATATGTGTTTTATGGTACATTTAATACAATATATGTGTTTTATGTAATGGAAACCAAAAGAAAGTGTTGACAAGGGACAAAGCACAATGAAGATCACGAACACGTTAGTGTGCACAAGTAGGAGGTCCTACTTTGAACAACATCAGATGATCAAGGGAAAAAAATGGCAATGTAGTTTGACAACATGTATTTGAGGATTTTACACATTTACTTCGAAAATTTAAGTTCAAATCAAAGGAATATAAGATTAAATTATGATCAAGGGATGGTCTTTTAGACAAACAACTTTGAGAAACCACAAAGAGCAATTTATTGACCAATAGGAGCAACTAAAGTGAACTGTAGGATCAGGTTGTAAGTCATCAGGAGCATGTATTAACAGATCAAGAGAAATATTCAATGTGTTGTTGAACTAAAAGCAAAAAAGAGAGAGAGAGAGAGAGAGAGAGAGAGATATTCTTGAAAAAAATAGCAATCAAGTTTCAAAAGTACAGAGAAAAAATAGCAACAAAGTTTCAATTTTTTCTTTTCTATCGCTCTATAAATTATGTTACATTTTTTTTTTGTTTGTGGGAACGATTTTTTAATTATTTTAAGAGAAAGAGTATTGAAGAAAATAGCAACCAGGTTTGAAAAGTACGGAAAAATAACAACAAAGTTTCATTTTTTTGTTTCAAGCAGTAAAGTTTCATTTTTTTCAGGAGAAAGAGTATTAAAAATATAGCAACCAAGTTTCAAAAGTATGGAACATGTCTATGTGTTTGTATGTTAATAGAGAACAAGTTTTCGGCCGCTTTACAGATTAATTTATAATAATTATAATACAATTAATTATAAAATATAAAAATTTGTATATAAATAACTGTTTGCAAATATATTATTAATAATTATATTTTTAATCTATTTTATTTTACTTTGTCAACCGTGTATTACATGGGTTATAACCTAGTAATATCAGGGGCGTATCCACCATATGCTTAGGTAGGTCCTAGGACCTACCTAAGTTCTCAATTTCATTTAGAATTTATACACTAGAAAAATTAGGAACTACCTTAGAAAAAATAAAGGACCTACCTTGAGTTTGTTTTTTAAAAAAATTTCTTAAAAAACCATTTTAAAAAGAGAAATATTTAAGTTATTAAGACAATTTGTTATTTTAAATTAAGAGATTGATAACAAAAAGTGAACCACTCTTAATCGGCACTCTCAAAATATTAATAAATAAATAAGTTGTTCTAATAAAATAAAAGCTCACATGTCAAATACTCTCACTCTCCGTTCGCCGCTTTATCAATGGACTAATAATCAACTAGTTTTTTGTTAAATCGTACGCATTTTTCAGTTATATTTCAATCGGTTTTTTTAGATTTTTAATCGGTGGCACAAGGTACATGAGCCGATTGAACTGATTCAGTTCTTTTAAGGTACATGAGCCGACCCGACCCGACCCCAAAAGTGTTGTTGATTTTTTTTTATTGGCCTCACTTAATTTAGGAACCATGTGATTTTTTATTCTAGATTCGCCACTGAGTAATATATAAAACTATCACAAAAATAACCACTTTATAAGATAGTTGTTAATTTGATAAGGAGTAGCATGGAGATTAGGAAATCCATACAACAACAAAAGTCCTCAAAACTTTTTTTTTTAAAAGAAAATCATATTGTGCTAAACGCATATTTATATATTACAGACTACATTATTTTAGTGTTTTTCTTTGTGGTAAAGCAACATCAACGACATCCTACATGAGATGGGATAGAGAAGATATTAGACACGAAGTCATATCTCTACATGGGTAGAGTGACTCCGTATGTGTAACTCCTGCAAATGAATATACAACCTTGCAAAACAAGACTTACAATGGAGTGAGGATCAAATGTAAATCATATTACAAGGGAAAAAGGTTAAATACCTATTAGTATCTAGTCGATAATTAAAATATGCACGGTTATGTAGGGAGGGAATAAACATGAACAAACAGCAAGATAAGACATGTAAGACATTTAATGTGGACCTACACTACTCCTCAACCATGATCCTAAGCCTCCACACTCTCTTATCGGAGGCTAGGTCCTCAAAAAAAATCAAGTCCATCTCAATATCCTCATTTTTGCTACATTCGTATTCGTCTTGTGTTCCTTCTTGTTCGGCCAACATTCGAATCCATACAAAATATATGACATAACAACAATCCTAGAAAATTTTCCCTTTAGTTTCAAAATGATTTTCTTGTCGCACAATACTCGTGTGGCCGCCCTCCATTTCAACCAACTCATCTTCATACGGTGTATCTCATCTACCTACACACCCTTGCTTTATAGATCACAGACCTTAAGGACTTGAATCTCTCCTTTGGGGGTAGAGGTTGCTCCCTTATACATACATCAGTCCCTTCGTTGTTTCGCTCCTCGTTAAAATTGCACCACAAGTACTCAATTTTAGCAGTATTGATTGATAGACCTTTCTCTTCTAATGTTGTATTCCACAAATCCAATCTAGCATTTAACTAAGTCCTAGTCTCCTAGATTTAACTACCAACACAATGACGTCAACAAAAGTCACAAACGAAGGCTTTTCACCCTGAATTTCATAAGATATCTCGTCTATGATCAAGGAAAAGATATGCATGTTGATAGTTGATCACTGGAGTGGTCCAATGCTATACGTTGTTGATAGTGATCCACACCAGAACGAACAGGGAACGACCTTGTGTCACCACCAGGGGTACGGACGGACACAGGTCGTGGACCGACAATATATATCGCAATTGCTATGACATATCTCTGTAGAACTCTTCTAGTTTCTAAAGTCCTCCAAATCATCTCTCGTGGAAGATTGTCATCTCCTTTTCGAAATCTATGAATACCATATGTAGGTCATTATTTCTTTCCCTAACTTTCTCCATAAGTCGTCTGGTGATGGGACTTGCTTTAGTTATCAAACTTCTGGCATGAAACTGAATTGGTTTTCTGAGACGATAGTATTGGGGCACAACCTAGCCTTCATAACTTTTTCCCATAATTTTAAGGTGTGACTAAGTAATTTAATATCTATATAGTTATTACAGCTTCGAGCGTCCCCTTTATTCTTATAAATTGAAATCACAGTACTAGGTCTCCTCTCCTCAGACATCTTGGCAGTCTCTATGATAATGTTATTGAGAATCGTCAGCCACCTAACTCCATGCTCCCCAACACACATCCACACACTACTAGAAATTTGGTCGAGGCCTATTGCCCCCTCATCATTCTCAGCGTCATCATGACTTCCTCGTTGCTAATCTTCATGCAGGAACCATCATTAAGGGTCCGACATGTCCCTAGAGAACCTTCCCTAGCTAGTTCTATCCAATACAAGCGTCAAATATTCATTAAATAAATTTCCTTTTGATATCGTCATTGTTCACAAGTATACAACCATTGTCATTATTAAATACCCAAAGTGTTCCTATGTCCCTTTGTCTTCTCTCTCTAGATTTAGCCATCTTGAAAACTCCGTTCATCCATTCTTTAGTCTCCAACGTCATATGTCATGCATTTGGCATCCTTGTACCTTTCTTTTGCCAACCCCTTGGCAAGTTGGCATCCTCACCTACACATATACACTCTTAAAACACCTTAAAACAAGTTTTGTTTAGACTTAACTTTAGCTTGGACCTTCTCTCTCCGCCCCCACAGATCTTAATGGAACCAAACCAAGACTGTTCAATCTTAACTTTCTTTGTGGTAAAGAGAATTAACAAATGCCATTTCGTAACAGAGGCAAACCACTACAAAATAGTCATTTGGTACAAATAGACAAAAGATGAAAACAATTGAATGCCATTTCGCTATGATTTTTTTTGTTATTTTCTTTAAACAGAATATGTTATATACAAAAATAACACGATATTTTATCCTATGTTGGGTAGACCTTTTAAATCTGTCTTTTATTCTTGAAAAATTCACAAGAAAGACAAGTTATTTTTACTATTCAATCAATTCAATCACTTAACAATTTTCAAAAACAAAAGAACCACTTTCAACTATTTTCAAAAAGTAAAAAAACTACTTTCCACGTTAACTAAAGGCATTGTACTTTTTCCCACTTACATATAGCCATCAAGGTAAAATACAAAACACACCAAAAAAAAAACAATACACTTCCATTTCACCATTTTACCAATATAACTATCAAATAATCTTCGTTGGATCACAAAACAAATCAACAGCTAAAACGAAACAACATAAAGATTGCTAAAAATCCGATGACTGGAATCATAACCCTAATTTGATTCAAAACAACATAATATTGCAGATGCTTCACTCTCAAAATTGGTAAAAGAAAATAGTAACAAACATCTAAAAAACAACGTTGCCCAGAAGCAAATATCATAACATAAACAATACAAAATATTAAAATGTTCAACCAAGAAAATCAACAAAAAAAAAAATGGTGGAATTTCAACGCTTGCCACCACCACCTCCTAACTTAGGTCCTTTACCTTTAGGGGCACTGCCACCCTTGCTTTGAGTCTTTTGTTTTGACACCACCTCTGCTTTCTTTGCTTTCTTCTCATCTTTTGTCTTCTTAATCCTTTCCTTTATCTCACTAAAATTTCATGAATATAAATATAAGATTTTTGGTTCAAATGGTAATATCACAAAAAAGAAAGAAAACCTAAAAAGGAATGAACAATATATATTTACCGAAGAGCTGCCTCCCTAGCAGCATCACGAACTTCAGGCTTCTCACTTCTTTTCTTCTGAATAACTTCCAAAGTCGCCCCCACAATGGCTCTTGAATATGGCTTCTTGGTTGCACGTCTTCTCTTCTTCACTGCTTCCTGAGCAATGTCCTGAAATAATTGAATGCCAAGAAATAAAATTGGTCAGATTATTATCAAAATGAGTGAAAAACAAATCAATAGATATAAATGAGTCTCACCTTCTTGTGTTGCTTTCTGTACATGGCTGTCCATGTGAGCTTGGAAGGCTTCAACTTGTTATGGAAGTACCTTTTGCATTTGGAATTGGCAAAAAGGAAGACCTAGATTGAAGCACAAAAGTCTTTTAATTCAAGAATCTATGCAGCTAACAAGAAAAGTAACAACAATCTTGACATGTATAATCAGATCATGTACCTGAGAGTCTGATCTAATGAATCTGATACCCCTTCCAGGATATATCTTCTGGCCACTGAAACGGCATAATTCGGTCCTACAAACGATTCATCGTAGTTTCTCAGTTAACTTGAGGGGTTTCCATGGTATGTAACGATTTACAAAAGGAAATCAAAAGTATATACGATTAGATTTCATAACAAACCGTATAGTTCATGTGGAAGAGATATACAAGCAGAGATAAACATCTACATTTTTTGGTCGTGATCATAGATGTAATGCAACAGAAAAGTTAGGCCACATATGAATATAGAATCAATGTCGATAAAAACTATAACTAATCCTATATCTTAAGAGCACATATCATTGTATATCTGTAGCTGATCGCTTTTCTAACCCTAATAATACACCTTCGTCCTCTTTTATTTAAACGGTTTGGAAACCCTAATATGATTGCAACAGATTGGATTGAAATAATTGGGGGAAAATGACGATTAAGCAAGTATCTAAAAAATTAGCCATTTCTACCACTTCCTAATCAACAAAACCAACAATAAGCTTGGAACTCAAACAAAGAAGCGAGAAAATTTTCGACAAATTGTAAAGAAAATGGGAACATACTTCAAAACCATGGCGGCCGCTGCTACAGTTCTACACTTGCTGAAGAAAAAAAAGCCCTAGGAACACCAATTGTATCCGTCCTTATATAGCACCATCACTTTTAACGAAAGATGTGCGTTTTATTCATATCACACAGCTCCCTTGAGGAAATAGAAATGGCGCTTGTAACCCCTCTAGTTTTGTTTTTATTTCAAATTACCCAAACTATGATTTTCTTTTTTCCAATTATATCATGTAACCTGAATGAGTAATTTAGCTTAGGTCTTTTCTCAACCATTATATAAACTATGCAAATATTTGTATGTTGTGTAAAATAAAACTATATAGTTAAAAAAAATTGCATATATATTGAAATGATACAATATTAACTATAAAATAATAACTTTTACAATAAGTTAATATCTAAATCTATAATTCTTTAAATTATATTATAAAATATATATCTAATAAAAGCATACCGTTCAACAAGCATAACATTCAACAGTATTTATTTGTGGTCTGCGTTTAAATTATATTATAAAATATATATCTAATAAAAGCATACCGTTCAACAAGCATAACATTCAACATTATTTATTTGTGGTCTGCGTTTAAATAAAATTAAACATGATTTTCGATTTAATATTATAATTTAATGTTATGATTGATTAATTTAGAAATTACTTATTTATTGATTTTTTTAATTTCAATCATGATGGTTAATTAACATATAAACCATTATTTGTAAGTTAACACAATGTATATTTTTTTGTTAGGGAAATGACATTGTAGCGCAACAAAGTTTTAGCTTTGTCTCGGATTGGTCACTGAAGTTAATTTTTTACGCAATTAGTTCTTAAAGTTTCAAATTTCATGTCAATTACACCATTTTGCAAGATATGAAGCAAACATCCAGCAAACATCCGGTAATACAGGTGACATGGCATGCCGTGTCCCACCTTTATTGCCACATAGCTCTCACACACTGTCATAAATCGAATCCTATTTTGTGTTGTACTCTTTGAATATTTTCATGTAACTCTCTGCTTCTTCTTCCCTAACCCTACAACGCCTTTTGGCAAAGCAGAAGAAGAAGGTGGCGGTGTCGCTGTCAGCGAAGCATTTAGCAATGGTGAAGAAAGGTGAGAGATGGAGTACGGTATGAGTTCAGTGAGATCTGAGTTGGTACAGTAAGAGATGGCAAAAATGGGGTTTCTCCTGTTTATCACCATGGAACCTAACTATCTTTTCCTTTATGTTCATCTTCATTCCGATATGGTTTTCTATGTCGACTAAAGTTTGTCACCATGAGTTAAATCCAAAAATGTTAATGGGTTTGTGAATCCAGAATCCACCTTTAAGAATTAGTAAGTCCTTACTTATGAGCAAACTAGATAATCATATAGTTTTATAAACACTAGATAAAAACACGTTAAAATATAAACATGTGTTATTAATTATAGGATGGATACATAGTGTAACGCCCGTAGATTCGGGCTAGTCAATTTAGAGACGATAAGCGTAAAAAATGACTTTTTAATAGAAGATTATTTATAATGAATAATCTTAACCAAGTCATAGTATATGTTACAAGGGTTCCGTACATATAAAGAACGCCGAAATCCGAGTTATAACGAAGAAGTTATGGCCCGTCGAAGTTTTTCGGCAAAACCGGCACGACACCGGGAGACGTAAATAGTGAATTTATGATAGAAGACTTTTTAGCCTTAGTAATCTAAACAAAAGTTGTAGTATACGTTAAACCGAGAACATACAAAAAAAGAACGTTAAAATCTGACTTCGTATGAGGAAGTTATGAATTTTCTAAGATTTGGCATAGCAGTCCACGGCCCGAAACTCGAATTTTAGTTCGAGCGGTTTTTGGCCTACGCGACCTAAATGAGAGTTGAAGATATCATTAATAGGAACTCAACAATAAAAAGACAGACGAAAACGGAGTGCGTATGTAGAAGTTATGAATTTTACGCGGACATTTAACAATATAATCTCCTCCTACTGTTAAATTTAAGATCGGTAGAGAATTAGCCGACGGAGTCTAAATGAAAGTTTTAGATCTTGTTTTTACCTACGCGTGGATATAAAGAATGTCGAGAGTAGAGCTCGTATGTTAAAGATATGGACGAAACTTGGTCCCTACTCTTCGAGCGCGATAAATTCGATATAGTTTTGTAAATCTGAGATTGAATGAGAATTAGCTGACGGCGTCTAAATGAAATTTGTAGTACTCGTAAATACCAACGCGTGGATATAAAGAACGTCAAAAATGGAGTTCGTATGAACGAGTTACAAATTATAATGGCATATTTACGTATTAAAATATAGTATAAATCATATATACGTACACATATATATACAAATGTATATATCATTAGAAAGGTATCGACGATGCGGTTAT